CACAGATGGAGTTCGGGGGTGATCATGTACACGTTACTCGCTGGCTCCCCGCCCTTCTGGCACAGGAAGCAGATGCTGATGCTGCGTATGATCTTGGCTGGTACATATGACTTCTCATCTGCAGAGTGGGACGACCGCTCAGACACTGTCAAAGATTTGGTAGGTCTTTGTTTTTGTTTTTTGTTTTTAAATCACTGCTTTTACTAGTTTAGTCAACTTCGAAAGTCTTTTGACTAAAGCCTAACGAAACTCACTTGAATCATGGGTCCAAATTCCCATTCCTTTCCAGGAGACTTAACAAGACAAAATACTGAACAGATAATATGGGATTCACAGTTGGTCACACCAAACTAAAAAAGATTTAAAGGTCAAAGGCCCATTCTCTTCCTCAGATTTCTCGGATGTTGGTGGTGGACCCAAAGCAGCGCTGCACAGCTGTTGATGCCCTCAGTCATCCATTCTTTTCACAATACGTGGTGGATGAAGTACGACAGTTCAGTCCATACAGAAGATTCAAGGTAAGATTACAGAGATACAGAAAAGCACATTCCTCTGTTGACCTTGATTTTATTTTTCAAAAAAATTTAAGTGGGCCTGTCAGGCACATTTTAATCTGATTAATTACTGGGAAGCTTTGGGTTAATCACAATTATTCACTATCACAATTAATCAATTCATTGTTGTAAATCAAAATTCCAAAATATTAAAAAAGAAAAACACATTGTATATTACTACACAAGAAGGACAAACAAGAGCAGTCTGTTTCTCACCTGTTTTGTCACCAGTCCAAATAATGGAATTATTAAGATGGAAACATGTCAAGAAAAATGTGAAAATATATAACTCAAAATTGTATGCATTAGGATGGTATTTTAAGATAGAGGTGCTTCAGTGAAATAAAAATGTTTTATAGCGATAATTCTAATGAATTACTGAATATAAAGTGTCAAAATGTTACTCATCAACATGATTACCTCATCAATATTGACAGCCCTACAGTTAAATGACATTCAACCATTACTGTTCTCCATCAGGTCATTTGCATGACAGTACTCGCCACAATGAGAATCTACTGCAACTACCGCCGTGCCAAGCCCATTACCAAGGAGGTAATCATGAGTGACCCCTACGCTCTCAAGCCCCTCCGTAAACTCATCGACGCCTGCGCATTTAAGATCTACGGCCACTGGGTCAAAAAGGGCCAGGCTCAAAACAGAGCAGCGCTGTTTGAGAACACTCCCAAAGCCATCCTGCTCTCCATAGCTTCAGACGTAGACGAGCCCATGCGGCACATCTGGTAACAAGCACCACCTCCTTTTTTGTACTCTTCTCCCTCCCCCATGTTGTTATGTCATAAAAAATGTTGTAACATCTTAAAAAACACAAAACATAAAAAAATTAAATGCAGTACAACAGTTACCTAAAGTACTTGAAAGCTGATACATAATACTATAACTAAATGAAGTATTAAAACTGTTGTAAAAAGTTGCTGGGATGTAAAATACCGAAGAGCATTGAATGTATAAACTTAAGTTATTAAAACTGTTTAATTAAAAATAAATACATTGTTTTGGAGTCTTCATTGATTATTTGAATTTTATTTTTTTTCTCACAGTACATTTACATTACAGTCACTTATTCTCAGTACACTTAATTAAATAATCACATTGATAATTTTACTTTCTTACCACAACTTCATGATCTTCGCCACCAGAGTAAACACCCACCTCTCTGTAGACACCAGACAACAGAAACAAAGTTAAACCTCACATTCACACTCAGTGAGCATCACCTGTTTTTTCTTTGTTTTTTTCAAACAATTGTACTCATTCCTGCGCTCAAATGATGCACGGTGTTTTACACATTCAATTATAAGCAGCAATGAGCCTAGACTATTGCATGGTGTCTGACTGTGTCCACTACAGTCAAAGTGGAACAGAATTCATCCATGCTGAGATCATTAAATATTTAATATATTTAAAAGACTAAAAAATAACTTTACCTTTAAAGGTCTTTGTCACAGGTTGAAGGTCAAACCAGTCTTAGGTCTACATTTCAGTGCCAAGACCCCGAGGTCAAACTCCCCACATGTAAAAGCTTTTAATATATTACCAGCATCATCTTTAGACCCCTCTTGCTTCCACTAATATTACACCAAGGCTTTTCAAGCCACAGTTTTCCACACTGTTGCATCTTTGACAAAACCTGGAACACAAAAAGTAACATAGCATTTACATGGATTGTTCACTGCAGGGATGATATGTTTTAGATTCACTACGACCCTACACATCAACAGGCTAATCAAGATGAGAAAGTACAAACAAGCAATTTTACATAATGTCTGTGTTCACACTGACATACGAATGAGGCAAAGAAAGTACTTCATTCTTCTTTTGAAGTCAATGCGTGAAAACAATAATCTAGCACGGTGTCTGACTGCATGTACTATTTCAAAAGTAATACAGAATTCGGCCATGCATTTATATACATTGCTTTGTGTTTTTCAGATTTTTTGCTCCACATTCCAAAAATAAAAATACAGTTTTGAAGCACACCAGTTTCTAGTGATTAAAGGTTCATAACCTGATTTTGGAATAGTATTGTTTTCTATGAAAAGGGGTGCATTCCAAAAATCTATCATTAATCCATTAAATATTTAAAAATAATTTGTAAAATGTGTATCCATAAAATAATTTGTAACAATTTAACTTTAAACAATTCCAAAGCCGTTGTACCCTTTAGCATGCGAACCACGTGCTTCACCGAAAAAAGGGCCAACATCTCAAAAGGTTTATACCAGGAGCATTTAAAATAACTTTATCTTAATTATCATATATAAGAAAAAAGCACGAGGAAAGTTCAGAGTTAATTTAAAAAAGTAAACTATAGAAAATACACATAAATATAAGACAACACTTACCACCGTTCTCTGCTTCGGATGAAAGGACTGCTTCCGCTTTGTTCTTCCTTTTTCTCTCTGTGGCAATTGCTGTCGACGAAATTTCCGCCACCTGCTGGACCGGCTCGTACCTGTTTCTTTAGCAAATGTTTTTTCCTGGTCTGCAACCCAGAAGTCTTTGGTTAATATTTTTTAAGCTAAGGCCAAATAAGGTTATTTACTGGTGTCTTTTTTGGTGGCACTTCCAGTCTTTTATAAATTGGGTTTAAAATTTAAGACATTTTAATGAATATTCATGCTCAGTTATTTGCGTATGCATAAAACGTAACCCTTAATTGCACATTCAACCTAGTCGTCATCTAAAATATACACAAGAGAAGTCAGATAAGCATAGAAAGTTAATAAAACAAAAAGAAAACAGACTACCAGGCAAATTCGTTTTTTTTTAAAAATATACGTGAATGAACGTGTTCTTTGTGTGTTATATATAATGAGTTATTTTCTGCGTATATCAATATTTTTAGATACGGTAAAAACAATCTTTATGTACTTGACTCAGTAACAATGTAAAATTTTTGATGAAAGGTCATGGTTGGTGGGTTGTGTTGTCATGGTATCAGGCAGAGTGGGCGGTCCTTTAGTGCCTCTTACTCTGATTGGTCCATTGATCCTGGATCCTGTTCCTCATCAGTGAGACCACTAGGGCTCCACTAATGCTTGAGGCGCTCTTTCTGCTGCACGGACGCTACTATCACCGGTAAGTTAACAAAGGACACTCGATGAAATCGGCTGAATTGCATAGAAATAGCTTTGCACATTCGTTATTGACGCAAGACTGACAACAAAAACCGCATTAAGCGCGTTTATTTAATACCGGTGGAGCTGCTCGGCGTACTGAGAACATACACTCATTCCTGGTCGTTTTAACGAAAATCTGTCGTAAAATCCAAAGACAGTGTCCTACCGCGGTCACACCTTACCTGGTCAAAGAACTAATAAGGTTCATTCAATCGGCTTGCAGCATTTATGTTCAAAACGTCTTCCTGCTGCAGTTCATTGTAAAGCGTCAGTCTGTGCGAGCTGTGCGGGGTGATGCAACACGAGCAGTGGATGTACATCAGTTTCTGCCGTAGTTTGTATAAGAAGGCTGTGTTGTGTAAAGCCGCAAACAGTTGTGTTGACATAAAGGCAATTGATTTATGGCATTCAATATGATTTACATTAAACCATTTGAAATATATATCTTTTTAAAATATTTTAGCTATAACGGTTTGTAGTATAACTTAGAAGTTAATGAGGTCTGATTTCCACAAGTTCAATTGCTCCTCTTTAAGTTATAATTTAAATGCAGTTATTTTAACAAAAATGTCTGTAATTAGACTGTTTGCTATAGCACATCTCAAAGTCTGTATTGAATTTAAAATAAGAAATCGTTGCACTAAACGACGTTTTTTTGCTTACTTATATTTTGTTTGTTTTCATGTTTCTGCTTCAGAGAATAGTCTGAATTTCCTTCCTACTCAGACCACACACAGCTACAATAGGATGTGTCTACAGTCTAGTGTGCTGTGATGTGACAACTTACGAATTATTGTTCTTTCATATAAATGGATGTTTGAGTATCTCTACTTGTAAAAGATAAATATAATTTAGCAGCACAGTGATTGTGCCTGTGACAAATGATGACTTTAACAATTTGAGGTGCAGCTTCATCTTGGACTTAAAACCAAGTCTTCATCACTGACTACAAGTTATTTTTCACACTAGAGAGTTTGAAAAGTTAGACTTTTCCTCCTGGCTGATTATTGAAGTAATGGTTGTAAATGTTGTAAATCCTATTGCTTTTGGGTTGTCGTTTCAACATACGCCTTCCTTCTCAGCATGATGTCGACGCTTTCACAAACAAAAGAACTCTTCAGGAACGCAGATGCTGTTTGTTTTGACGTGGACAGCACCGTTATCAAAGAGGAAGGCATTGACGAACTGGCCAAGTTCTGCGGTGTGGGGGATGCAGTCACTGAGATGTAAGTGGCATCTATATATAGATTTACATATATCTGTTCACAGGGAAAAATATTTTGTCCAGAAACAACTTGCTCTGAAATCTTTGACATTTTTGCCTTGTTTTTTTTTTCTCCCTCAGGACTCGCAAAGCAATGGGTGGCTCGGTCACCTTTAAAACAGCTCTGACGGAGCGTCTTTCCATCATCCGGTGTTCCAGAGAACAAGTGAACAAACTGATCACAGATCACCCGCCGCAGCTGACTCCAGGCATTAGGTGAAAAGTCTTCTTTTCTTTTTAACCCTTGTACTTGACCCTAAATACAAAACCAGACATTCACATACAGCCATACGTCACTGTGGAGGTTCCCATGTGTTTTTGATTTTGAACCTGTTTCTGTTAGCGCCCCACTACACACACACACACACACACACACACACAGACACACACAGACATGGTGAGCCTCTTTGTTCAGGGATGTTTTTGCAAGCTCTGCATTGTTGCCACAACAGACCAACAAGATTGACATTGTTCATTGTTTTGCATTACATTAGATTAAACTGGAGGTATAGAGAGGGGTTTATGTGTAAGAACACATGCAACTCAACTGGCTTCTGATCAACAGCTACCTCTGATCCTCTACTGTTGCAGGGAGCTTGTAGAACGCCTGCACGAGCGCCACATAAAGGTTTTCCTCATTTCCGGTGGATTCCGCTGCATCGTTGAGCACGTGGCCACGCAGCTGAACATCCCACTGGATCACATTTATGCGAACCGACTCAAATTCTACTTCAATGGTATGTCTGACTATTAGTCTGTGTACTAAAAGCCGCCTTGATGGAAACACCCATTCGTGGTAACAGTTAAACCACACTGTAGAGCCAGTAACTCTAACTGGACTGGTTTGGTTTGATTTCTTTTCTGATGCTAATTTGTGATAAAGCCAGGACTTTGACCTGTGTGGGGGCATGGCCTCTGGTGTGTGCTAAAGACGCACTGAGCTGCTTCACTATCATAAGTCAATAGCAATCATTGAAAAAGCTCCAGGTTGTCAACAACTTGTGTTACGATTTGTTGTTACTCAACGTAATCGTCCCCATCCTCCAGCAAACAAGCTGGTCCAACTAGTCTCTGAACCACATCCTGTGTGAATCCTGTTTAGTTTGCTCCTTAGCACTGAATGGTGGAATTAACCTGAAAGCTTAGTATTTAATTGACATGACAAAACGTATATTAATGTTAAACATGTTTTCTTTCCCCCCAGGAGAGTACGCTGGCTTCGACGAGACTCAGCCCACAGCAGAGAGCGGAGGTAAAGGAAAAGTCATCAGCATGTTGAAGGAACAGTACGGCCTCAAGACTGTTGTGATGATTGGAGACGGCGCCACTGACCTGGAGGCCTGTCCTCCTGCTGTAAGTGTCTGTTAGGTGTGAACACTAGGGGGCAACAACCGAATGGCGATTAAAAACAATTTATTTTCGCAGCTGTTAAATGTTACGTTATTTCTTTTCATACTGATCATGTAACTAACGTGTTATGCGTCTCTCTCTCTCTCTCTCCTCAGAGCGCTTTTATTGGATTCGGTGGGAATGTGGTCAGACAGCAGGTGAAGGAAAGATCATCGTGGTATGTGACGAGTTTCCGGGAACTTATAAAAGAACTGGAGAAAATTTAAATAAGCTAAAATAGTACTTTTAAAAAAAAACAACAAAAACAAACAAGGATCAGTAGTTTTATAGCAGTATTTGACTGGGTACAGTTGTCTTTAACAACAATATAATTTAGTTTTTTAGGACATTTGTTATTCTCTGAAAATGTCACCCCTCCCCCCAAATATCTACCAATTATTACATTATGAATAATGGAAGCCATATCGCCCAACACTAACGCTTATGATTAACCATTTTGCACATGTGACCCTTTTAGTTAGATTTCAAATAGACTTTTTAAATTATGAATGTTTTACAGGAGTGAAACCAATTATGTCTCCTCGGCTTTGTCGCCTTATGATTTCAATTTGATGACGGTGTACAACAAACACTCCTTGTGGAAGGTTGTGGGAGAATATTTTGAACATATTTTCATGCACTTTTTGCATCAAAGCCTTTGACTTTATTTGCATATTGTTGTGTATGGACGTTAGGAATGTTTTAATTGTTCTGTACGAGAGCCACAGACTGTGGAAAACCATTGGTATTGGCATTAAAAACAGAAGGAAATGAAATATCAAAACTGCTGTGCTTGTGTTTTCTTATGCGGCACCAGATATTTCTGCACAATTTTCTGCAGTTAAATCTGTTAAAATTACATATTCAATGAAATCTGCAGCAGATTAAGACTGTGTGCGCAGCTTTCTGCTCCGGTAAAGAGTCAAATGGAGACATGGGACAGACAGCTGTGGGAAAGAAAAGAAAAGAAAAAAGTTATATTTCTGTATATTTTTTCCATATTATTAATATTTGTTTGGACAAAAGGAGGTTAATTTCCTTTTTTCAGAAATATACAGAAAAAAGGTCATTTGATTGTCAAATTATCTTGATAAATCTTAATTAATTGCAATCGATTTAGCCAGAGCTTCTGTAATAAAATATGGTCATAGTTTTAGGAAACACTCATTCTCAGATAGTTGACTGAAAATAAATATTGTTTCCTTCAGTATCAATCAAGACGAGTTAAGACTCAGCCTATGTTTTTTGTACATAACTCTTTATTTAGAATGTTTTACATTTATGCCTCATTGATCCACGATATATTTCAAAAAATATTTTAAAACATGCAGTCGTCACAAGAACAACAAAAGTTGAAGCCATTTTTACAAACATGGCACCGTGTAACAGTATCGATATGACCGGAAAATGAAATAAAGAAAAGAATAAAGCAAGATCAGTAAACGTGGCACGAGTACCACTATTTATCTGGTTGATATTTTATACACTTTGTAACATGTAAGTAGTTTTTTGTCACATGTTCAGACCGACATCTTGTTGATTCACTTTGAAGAGACACAGCTGAAGTTTCAGGACGCACTCACACTTGCGAAAAGTTTCTGGGTTTTAAGTTGATGGTAATTTGTTGACAAATGTGACGTTAGTGTCGTCATCTCCTGACACCTAAATGAACACAGTCCTTGATGCGTAATTTGTCACTTCTGCTGCAGTTGTTGTTAGCATACAACTGGATATTTGACAACTCTGGGGAATTCCGCAGTCCAATGGTTCTATTGACTGGCCTGTTGGGAGGCAGATTAAACTCCGTCTTTCTGCAGGTGTTTATCAGATCGTATCAAACACACTGAGGTTAGCATGTTAGCATTTACACAGCTTAAATGAACCAAAACAACACGATGTGGTCTGATTCACTTGAACCAAGTGTGACGAGTATGAACTGACCCTGAATGTTGTAATATCATCTGCTTTATGTTAAATAAATATCCACAGCTGCTTGTCTTCAAGTAACATAGGTTTGGTTTTGAAATCAGAGGACAGTTCTGGTTTTGGACCGGATGGAGTGTGGCACAGTAACAAACACGGAGGAGGTTTCAGTGTTACGCGTCGTCTATGTCATAAGTTGACAGTGTTGGACCCTCGTGAAACCCTGAAGAAAAAGGGGAAGAATTAAACTTTAAGGGATATTTTCTTGCAGCACAGACAGAAAGTCAGAACCATAATCTCTGGGTTGGTTCTAACGTTTGCAGTGATGCCAGTCGTTCAGGTGGAGCCGCCACTCTTCACTGCAGTGGTGAGGCCTTTGTCGGGATCATAATCCTGGACTCCATTTGCTGGATGAGAGGAACTGGAAATGTGGAAACACAAATGGTTTTAAGACAACACATGACATAACATGTTCAGTCAATAGAAGGTTAAAGTTCAAAGTGTTATGACAAATCACCAACACGAGGCTCCGAAGCCATACCAGCATCTTTCCCAGAAGTTGTTTTATTTATTTATATTTGTGTTCCCTCTCTCACCTGTGTAATACACCACCTCGTCCCAGCCTTCCTGCTGCCAGGCACCGTTCCTCGTGTCTTCTCTGGACTGAAGGTCTTTGTAAGCTGTAAACAGTGAAGACAGCTCAGTGAATTTAGAGTGAAATGATGGCAGAATATAACCTAGCAGCACATAAATAAGTTGTATTTATATTTTATATAATCACATAATTATGATTAATCACGATTAATCGTGTTCATAAACCCTGTGTTGTATCTGAACTTTTACGACAGTGGTATTTGTCTGTTACCCCAGAGATGATGGACCATGTAAAGACTTCCAATCTGGGAGAAAAAGCCGCCGACGGCCTCTCTGTTGTGTTGTCTGTATCCTATGGCTCTGGCCCTGCAGACATGGAAAACAGGATCAGTCCACACCAACGTGACTCACTTATCAGTCTTTAAAGCCATGAGTAAATGTTATCTATGATTATGAAATGGGGAGAATAAAAAAACAAAAACAAAATTTGGTTGCTTTTGCGTTCAGAAAAACAGCCAGTGTGAAACAAGATCAATGAGATACAAGGCTGTGGAGAGAAAACCTGTTTTCATCTATACATTTCATAATAACTCACAAATAATGAATACATGAAGTTAATAACAGTCCCAGCCCGCAGGCCAGCTCTCCACCCATATCTGGTTGACTAGTAGTGAAAAAAATGATTGACATTTGCACCGATATGGCATTGGCAGAGTTTGAAACTGCTGCATAAAATTTCAAATTAAGTCACACATGTATGTATGTAGGAAACATAAGGCTCATCATTTCTATTGAATATATGCAGATTCATACACTGTCTGCTCTATACACACCTGACCTCTGCAACAATGGAGTAAAACATAAACCACTTCTATTCAGTGAAATATGGTAATCTCTAAGGCCCCCTGCTTAGTCACACTTTAAAGTTGAGGTTGATAAATACATCAGACAATCTTACCAGTAATTACCCCACTCAATCATGGTTCCTGGCTGAAAGACAAAGACACACAGTGAACTTCATTACCACGTAATGGATTTCATTCATATTTTTTTTAACACTAAAGATGTGATTCAGGTAAATGGGGACAAACCCACACAATAACATGGTTGGAAAACTCTCTTTAGCTAAATGTAATCCCTGACTAATACTGCAGATTATGTTACGCATTCATCACAGCTGGTTACATGACTCCTATGTCCTGTACTGCATACTGAGAAAAACCTGTTTCTCAGTATACAAGTCCTAGAGGCTAAATTTGATCTGGATAACAAACAAACCAGCAGTCACAGAGAGCAGAGAAATAAACATGATGGTTTTTATGACTGATGTTGTACTAAATAATAAATGTTTTATTGATTAACTAAAAAAAGGGTCAGAAATAAAAACCCCTCATTACTATAATCATCTCATCATGTTTATTAGCCAAACCCAGGCTGTGGTACTCACCCTGAGCTGGTAGGACCTGAGCTCATAGATGTTAGGTCCCTCTCTGGGAACAGGCTCATTCCAGAAACTAAATTCCAGGAGAAGCTGATTTCTCCGGGACAGAAGCATCTTCCCCCGCTCCTTCCTGTACGCTGTAAACTCCTGCAGATCCACGGACATCAAACCAATCAGTTTAAGTTGACATTATGGCTCTGTTGTTGGGATGGAGAGTAGAAGAAACATGATGCTGGAGGAGAGTTTACCTTGTTCTGTCTGAGCTTGTTCATCACCTCTGTTAGGGCAGGGTAGCCTCCTCTGTAACGCCACAGGTGAACTGTGGGAAAACAGTGCAATGAAGGTCAGAAAAGTCTTAATAGAATTTATTAGGATTATGATTCAAATCAATCACGTCAAGGGCAACTGGACACATTTTCCAGTTTTTCCAAAGACATTTCACCTCTCATCCAAAAGGTTTCTTCAGTTCTAACTAACTGCTGGGAGGTTTCTGGTATTTAACCTCATACAGCACGGGTGCCTAATAAGTAGATCACAAGGGAGTGCTGGTAGATCATGAGTAATTAAAATAAAAATATAAAGATATATGCATAAATATGTTTAAATTCTATAGTGTGTAGTAGTAACCACAAAATATATATGTAATGTTTTCAATGCAGATAGATCACTTCAGTGTGGACCTTTGAATAGCATCTCCAGAGCCAAAAAAGTGTGGACACCCCGTCATAGAGCATGCAGTCTTATTGTCCAAAGAGTTTAAGTCTTTCTGCCACATTTAGACAAACTTAAATATAGTGTAATTAGTTTAGTGTAAGTTGCTGCATGATTTGGAGCCCACTGTATCTCTGTTGTACTGCAGAGGTATGTGTGTACATATAGGTAATCCTACCAGCCTGGTCTTGTTCTCCATACCAGGTATTCCAGGTTCCCACCAGCTCACAGGGGTAGTACTTATCAGCATGGATGGAAGGCAACACTTCCTCACTGTGGTGAATAGAAAACAACTTCAGTGGAAAAAAAGTGCATTCTCTCATGTGTGGGTTACACTCGCACTGCAGCCACTACTTTGAAACAACAACTTGTTCAAATGACTATCACATGTTTTCTGATCGTGTGACTTGTGTCTAGTATTACAAGGGCTAAGTTAGTCCCTGCACCACAACTGCAATCTTTACACATCTTCACCACCAGCCTGACCAGAATAGACTGCCTAAGACTATTTATACTCAAATGCAAACAACACTTAGCTGACGTCCTGAAGACTGACTTAAAATCAACTTTGATGAAATTAAAAGGGAAAAACCACACTGGATTTTACACATAATACTATGAAACAACACTCACCACAGCTTGTTGTATGAATCCAGGCACTCTGGCTTAACGTTATGAACTGGGAAAGAAAAATGTATTGATTTAATCATAATTCCAATTTCCACAGGTTTAAACTGTGAATATTTGTAGAAGCCAACTTACACTGAATTTTGTAGAGATTACTTTCCTCATTTTTGGTCAGAAGGTTGGAGTGTGCGTCTTTGCGTGGATCAACTTTTCTCACAAACAGTGATTTGAACCAGCTGTCCTGGCCATTACTGCTGCTTGATGTTGCAAACCCTCTGCAAACACAGAACATATATTTTGTAGTTTTTGGGAAGTATGTCAAATAATAGTTGTTTGATTGGTTGATTAATTATTGAATAACCTGCAGCTAAATTAATCAGTCAAGGGCTTGGAGTTCGAATGTTTGTGGACAAAAAAAATACATTGCAATATTTTTTATCTGATTGGAACATTGGCATTTCATTAGTTGCAGCTTCAGCAACATGGAAGGCAACTGTAAACACTAAAGAATAACAGCTGTGGGCTATCGCTACCTTCTCTTTAAAGTTATATTTATGTAAATTTTAAAGATCTAGGAACAGTAACGGTCTGACTGACTGATGCAAACTAATGACAGGTAAAAACGTCTGCAGTGATTTCACATTGAATATAGTCACGACACATTAGATAATAAAAAAAAATATTGACGTATTTCAAAAGATATTAAGGAAGTCATCTTTTGGGAAATAAATCAGTGTTTCTTTTTACTTTTGGCAAATTTGCACACGTCGTCGATATTACATATTTGATAAAATAAACATTCATTGACAGTAAAGCGTCGGTGTCCTGTCTACGCCTGAAGGCCACTGAGGCTAACGGGCTAGCTTCATCCTGACTTGCCGCCCTAGCCTTCAAACACTCGTTAAAACACAAAAACACGGTAGAAAGATAAATCATTAAACCTGCACTGACCTGCTCCAAAGGACCAGTTGTCCTGCGGAGCGGGGGCTGCATGAAGCCCGGACCAAACCTCCGCTGACCCTCTGAAGGACTCCTGCAGCCGCCATCTTTATCCCGCAGAGCAGCTTCCACCTCCAACCACCAGGCGGTGCTGCAGCCCCGGGGGTGGGGGGTGGATCGCGTCTGGAAGGCCGGCACCGCCCCGTGTGACATTACACCCAACTAAACAACAGGATAGCTCGTTTTACTAACATTGTATTATTTATTTAAACTAAAAAGGTGTAAACTAAAGCTGTTTCAATTTATCTCAAATTTCTAAAAGGCGGGATCAGTGTCACATGTTTATTTGTTTATTTGCTAAATAAATATACTAAATGAGAGGATAACCTACGTCCAGAAACTGTTTTTCTTTTTATTACTAAGCGACAGGTAACTATTAAGAGAATTAAAACATTAAAACACTAGATTATTTTGCTAACGACAAAAAGAGACCACATTTTAACAGTAAGAAAGATAAGATACAGAGAGATTTATATGTTTTATTTTTTCACAGATTATTTATTGTTTTGAAACACTATTATGCCAGGGACTCATCTCAGATAAATTCTTTGCTTTTTAAGTGGAAGGCTCAGGAAGCCACTAATATTAAAAAAATGTTTTTCTTGAGCGTAAATATGAACCCGTAACAATGAATTATTGTTTATTCATATTTACTGTTTGTTTTTATTACTGTTTTTTATTGTACTAACTAATTAGAACGAATAAACAAAAAACGAAACGATAAAATAATAAGCTAAGATGTAGCAGGACACCAAATTATTTTAATATGATATTAATATTTTAAACAGATGGGGGCGCTATTAACCAATGCATAGCCTGTAAACGAATAGCCTATATACAGTATATGTGTATTGCACTCGTTTTTATTTATTTTGTAGACATATTTAGTACCACTGACATGGTACATAATTTAGAGTAGTGAAACCCAGGTTTGTAGGAATGACATGAGTCTGACAGCTGCTCTACTTTGTTAAATGCTCGAACAACTGTGTTTCTACCACTAAGCCATGTTATCCTTAAATTTGAAAATAATAACATGATGTACTTGATGGATGGAGTGTATTTTTATGATGTGGGCTGAAGTGTTTGGAAAGAGCACATGAAGCTGCGTTTGCGTATGATGGAGAGGCTGACGGGATGGTCGACTGTATGACGGGATAGCCGACTGCAGCCCATGTGAGGATGATGGATGAGCTGAAAGGGTGATAAGGAATCTAACAGGGACCACATTGTCGAAGCCGACTTAACTTAAGGGAAAAGAGTACTTACCATCAGTGGAATTCAGGAACAATGGAGGGATTTGATATGCGTTCAAACACATCAATCATTTTCTCTTTGAAAGTTTTTTGAATAACGTGAGCCAAATTGTGGATATGTCTGGGAATTTCAGCTATGATGCATCTACTGGATCGTTGCTTTTTGGTTGATTTTAAGCTGGAGACTGTTTTTTTTATTGCACAATGTTCTTGTTTTTGTTTTACATATTTTTTTATTTAAGAGAATTCCTACCAAGGACAGTTGGTGTGTAGTACGCTGGTGTCCGTTGGAGCTCACTACAGTGTTCTATAATGTCATTGTTAATTTGAGTGACCTGGCTGATATATATTTATAATGAACCAAGTTGGACGTGGAATGTCTTTCTCTCCCAAAAGACATGTTTTAATGGTGGAAAATATGAGATCAGAAGTTTTTCTTAAAATTTCTAACTGGTGTTTCACTGCTTTACACTTATTATGTACCCTTTTAGTGGTACTACATATCATAAAAATTAAGTAAATTGGAGTGTGCTTTGGAGTGCATGCTCCCATAATTGTTTGACCTAAGACAATCACTCCCAAAAACTGGAAATGACTGAAATTAAACAAAAAAACCCACTGTCACAGAGAAAAGTACATACAGGTACTCAGTAAATGCAGGCCTTCAGATTTGTTTCTCAAACTTCTTCTCATTAATATTATTTTCCTTTTTGTAATGTGAAATATATGTTAGTACATGTCCTGGTTTTGACTGATCTAAAATCATTCTCCTTAGACCCTGTTGGATTGAAATTACTTCCAGAAACCGAAGCTTTGGGAAGGACATCTGTGAAAACAGCTGATATATGAATTCTTTACTATCCCAACAGAAAAAAAGTAGGATTAGATTTATCAGGGAGTTTAGAAATATATTAAAATATGCCTTAGTTAACTCTCTTGAATCCCAAACACAACACAAATCATGCTGGCCAGCCTTTGGACAGTGTGTCCTGGGTGGTTCTTCAGAGAAGCTTCTCCAGAATTATTAATCCAGTTTTCTCCCTCCACTCGTTGTCTTTGGCTCCACTACACACATGCTTGCTTTTTCAGAAATGCAGTGAGAAAATACTCCGGAGATGTTGTTTATAGTCCCTGCTCCTTATCTTGACTGGGTGCTGCAGTCAGTGAACGCAGTGCACACATTGGCACTGAAACATTTAAACCTATCAGTAAATTCTTGTCTAGGAATAAGTCTGTGTTTTGGTTTCAATGAAGACATTTAGATAAGGAGATTTTCCTCTCCAGGAACAATGAGAGTGAACAATCCTAAAGCTAAATAAGCTAAATAAAAAAAAGATATTGGTCATGTTAAAAAAGTCATATTCTCATACATATACACAAACCTGTATATAAATAATGCCAAAATGAGATATTAGCTCCATCTCAGTACTGCATTACTGCACAGTGGAGCCCCGAGATATGAGCTGCCTGGGGAATATCTGGAGTATTCCAACTATTGCAAGATTGTGCTTGTGATACGATACATGATATATATATATCATATCATATCATATCATATCATATCATATCATATCATATCATATCATATCATATATCAGCAGAGACACTGCTGAAGAGCTTTAACAGCCTCTGACAGCATCCAGACATCATCTGAAGTGACAAAAAATAAAACCAACAACCAACCGAACAAACCAACAGAATTCAGCCGGTGTTCCACAGGGACAAACTCGACCACTGTCTCTGTCGTCCTCTTGGCTGTGTGGCCATCGTTAAAAATTAAGATATTTGGTCTTTCCAGTAAAACTTTGCTCCTCAATTTGTTCCTCTGGCACAGTGGTACTGTTCAGTGAATTTCTAGTCCGGCTGATGTTCAATTATAGACCTCATTTCAAAATTGGTGGTGTTGAATGCAACTTAATTTTTATAACCACTTTACACTTATGCAACTTAATTTTTATAACCACTTTAGAGGACATTCATACATTCAGGTATGGTGAAAACCAGGTAAAAAGTAGTAAAACTAAAACACTGGTGTGGAAATGTTTTGATTCTAAAACCTTTCCAGGGTTTGACATCAAATGTCGGTGCAAGAAATGCTGAAATTTGTGGTTCTGGTTATTAACGTCGACCTTGATTTAACAGGCAAAAGGACAAAGAAAATACAGTTGGTGTTCACACTGTCAAACTTAATTTTACTTGTTGAATAGAGACATTTTCACAGCTTTGTGTCTGTAACAACATGCCAAGGTGGGAGAAGATTAAAATGTTCGGAAATGAAGGGAAAAACGGATCAAACAAATGCTCTGTCTCTGCAAATGAGGATGGATCCTGGTGCTCATTGATTTTGAAAACAACCATGATCAGATCAAGACAGAAAATAACAGTTTACTCTGTCAAAAAATAATAATAAAAAAATCACAACGTCAAGAGGAATAATAAAAAAGAACAATAGAATAAAAAAGTTTAGTACAAAGTTCTAAGACATTTGAACGTTGAAAAGTTTCCATTTGAATAAATGTCCCATAAACCTGTCCAAACCGGTCTCTGTGTCTCCAACAGCGTTGACCAGTTTTATTACTTTATCTTTGTCAAGTGTTGAGCTGTGACATGTTTTATTTGATCTGATTTTTCGACCCCCTTAAAATTGATCCATTGAGGAATCAGAGCAAAAATCAAAACTTTCACCAGACCTGAATGAAACTAAAATTATTGAAGCCTGAAAAGGGTGATCTGATCTGATTTGATCTGAAATAACATTTACAGGGATTTCGGTCCTCATACAAGTCAAAGAAACAGGTTGTTTCTCTGATGGAAACTCTACTAACAGAAGTGAGGGTACCTTGGGAGGTTTTTTTCTCCATCCACTTGACTTTAGGTGACTCAGGACTACTTCACAATACGATGGTCACTTAACACAGTCCACAGCTGTGCTCCCTGAGAATCCTTTCCTGCAGAGGAAGCCATATATCAATTAAGTGCAGAGATGCTGTCAAGTTCCCTGAGCCTGAGCTCATCTGAGATGGTCTGAAAGACAATGAAAACATGTTCTGTGGTTGCACAATATTCTGTATTTGTCCTCATCATTGTGAAAAGAAAACCCCAGCCAAGCTTGAATTTTTATGCTTTGTTTTTTTCACTTTTTTTTTTAAAATAATCCAGCTGATGCCTCAACTGACCTTAGTAAATGACCAAAGTAGGATCCTGGGAAATACAGAAATCCGTTTCTGCCTCTCTGCCTCCGGCCCTGCTGCAGCCAGCGCTCCCTCTCAGACATAAGGTCAGAGGTGTGAATGAAAAATTAAGTGGGCAGCAGTGGAGGCCAAGAATAAGATTTTTAGGAGCAGCAACAACAATGTCTTTGGGCCAGGTCTTCCTTCACCTGATTGGTCTGGAAGCCGTTTAGCCCTTACATCACCTCCTCAGAGAACTACAGCCAAAGATCACGGGGGTATTTTTTTTTAATCATATGTCGTCGAAACCAAAGGTCCATGAATCACTGATTTGAATAATTGAATGAAAAGACAGAAAACCATCTTCCCGATGCTCACCAGTGGGCATGTGTGAGAGAATGTGCTTTTTGGGATTTGATGGATGAATGGTAGGCTTAAATATTTTCTCTCTCTCGACCTCATGTGGTATTTCAGACCACATGTTTTCTCCTGATTTTCTTGGGCGAGGCAGAAACTCTGCCATAATTAAATCAATCACTGTACCATCTGGTCTATTGCAATTGGAAAAACAAAACCAGTATCTTCGCTTCAATATTTAATTTCATCTCGCCAACGGGGCGTCGCGGTGCTGTGGAACATTAGAAGAACTGGGGAGCCAAAAAAGCTGCAAAAAGAA